TTTTATCTTGAAATTTAGTGAGAGATCATCTTATAATGCTACTGTCAATCAAAGCAAGATAAGATGCATAAAAGATAAACATCGCATGCAATCAATATAAGTGATATGATATGGCCATCATCATCTTGTGCTTGTGATTTCCATCTCCAAAGCACTGTCATGATCACCATCGTCACTGGCGCGACACCTTGATCACCATCGTAGCATCGTTGTCGTCTCGCCAATCTTATGCTTCCACGACTATCGCTACCGCTTAGTGATAAAGTAAAGCATTACAGCGCAATTGCATTGCATACAATAAAGCGACAACCATATGGCTCCTGCCAGTTGCCGATAACTCGGTTACTAAACATGATTATCTCATACAATAAAATTTAGCATCATGTCTTGACCATATCACATCACAACATGCCCTGCAAAAACAAGTTAGACGTCCTCTACTTTGTTGTTGCAAGTTTTACGTGGCTGCTACGGGCTTAAGCAAGAACCGTTCTTACCTACGCATCAAAACCACAACGATAGTTTATCAAGTTGGTGCTGTTTTAACCTTCGCAAGGACCGGGCGTAGCCACACTTGGTTCAACTAAAATTGGAGAAACTGACACCCGCCAGCCACCTGTGTGCAAAGCACATCGGTAGAACCAGTCTCGCGTAAGCGTACGCGTAATGTCGGTCCGGGCCGCTTCATCCAACAATACTGCCGAACCAAAGTATGACATGCTGGTAAGTAGTATGACTTATATCGCCCACAACTCACTTGTGTTCTACTCGTGCATATAACATCAACGCATAAAACCTAGGCTCGGATGCCACTATTGGGGAACATAGTAATTTCAAAAAAATTCCTACGCACACGCAAGATCATGGTGATGCATAGCAACAAGAGGGGAGAGTGTTGTCTACGTACCCTCGTAGACCGTTCGCGGAAGCGTTATATCAACGCGGTTGATGTAGTCGTACGTCTTCACGTCCGACCGATCCAAGTACCAAAAGCACGGCACCTCCGAGTTCTGCACACGTTCGGCTCGGTGACGTCCTCGCCTTCTCAATCCAGCAAGAGGGGCGAAGTAGTAGATGAGTTCCGGCAGCACAACGGCATGGTGACGGTGTTGATGAAGAACAATCTCCGCAGGGCTTCGCCTAAGCACTACGAAAACTATGACGAAAGATAAACTAGAGGGGACGGGGTTGCCGGCACACGGCTTGGTGTTTCTTGATGTGTCTTTGGTGCTAGCTCTACCCCTCTATTTATATGTTGATCCCTGGGGTCAAAACTTGGAGTAAAAGCCTCCTCAAAGTCGGTTTCACCCGAAAGGCAAGAGTCCTTCTCGGACTCTAGGGCTAGACGCCAGGGTTCCCGGCGTCTACCCCCTAGACGCCAGGGTTCCTGGCGTCTAGCCTCTGGTCTCCGCAAAACTTCCTTTTGCACTTTCCAAATGCCTCATGGGCTTTCCCCTTGGGCCCAGATAAAGTGTTCTGGTGCCCAAACATTTCGGAAAACATCTGGAACCCTTTCCGGTGAATTCCGGAACCCTTCCGGAGATCAAACACTACTATCCACATATCAATCTTTACATCCGGACCATTCCGGAGTTCCTCGTCATATCTGTGATCTCATCCAAAACTCCGAACAACATTCGGTCACCAACATACATAACTCATAGTACTATATCGTCAACGAACGTTAAGCGTGCGGACCCTACGGGTTCGAGAACTATGTAGACATGACCGAGACACCTCTCTTGTCAATAACCAATAGCGGGACCTGGATGCCCATATTGGCTCCTACATATTCTACGAAGATCTTTATCAGTCAGACCGCATAACAACATACGTTGTTCCCTTTGTCATCGGTATGCTACTTGCCCGAGATTCGATCGTCGGTATCTCAATACCTAGTTCAATCTCGTTACCGGCAAGTCTCTTTACTCGTTCCGTAATACATCATCCCGCAACTAACTCATTAGTTGCAATGCTTGCAAGGCTTATAGTGATGTGCATTACCGAGTGGGCCCAGAGATACCTCTCCGACAATCGGAGTGACAAATCCTAATCTCAAAATACGCCAACCCAACAAGTACCTTTGGAGACACCTGTAGAGCACCTTTATAATCACCCAGTTACGTTGTGACGTTTGGTGGCACATAAAGTGTTCCTCCGTTATACGGGAGTTGCATGATCTCATAGTCATAGGAACATGTATAAGTCATGAAGAAAGCAATAGCAACAAACTAAACGATCAAGTGCTAAGCTAACGGAATGGGTCAAGTCAATCACATCATTCTCCTAATGATGTGATCCCGTTAATCAAATGACAACTCATGTCTATGGTTAGGAAACATAACCATCTTTGATCAACGAGCTAGTCAATTAGAGGCATACTAGTGACACTCTGTTTGTCTATGTATTCACACATGTATTATGTTTCTGGTTAATACAATTCTAGCATGAATAATAAACATTTATCATGATATAAGGAAATAAATAATAACTTTATTATTGCCTCTAGGGCATTTTCCTTCACTGCTGAAGTTACTGCCACTGTGGCTAGTCTTACTCACTCCTTTTCGGTTTGTAGGGCTCGCATTTGAAAATCTCTTGGACCAAGGTAGATGGTGAGTGGTGAAATAAATTTCGTATTTTGTACAATTATTTAATTAGTACACTTGTTTTGTTGTTGTTATCGATGCATTAATTACAACGCATGCATGCATGACCACTAGGGTATGATAATACCTTCGTAATGCATAGTATTATATACTTCCTCCTGTCCTTTTTACTCTGCATATTACATTTGTGCCAAGTCAAACTTTGTGAGGTTTGACCAAATTTATATTGAAAACTATCGAGATCTACAACACCAAATATATATACTATGAAACTACATCTCATGATGAATCTAACAATATTGATTTGACATTGTGATTGTTGATATATTTTTTCATAAGTTTGGTCAAAGTAGAGATATTCTGACTCCAAACAAAACTTATATGCAGACTAAAAAAGACCGAATGGAGTACTAGTACTATCTTAGGTCGCCTTATTTATTGTCATGCATGACACATAGTAGTATAGCATTTATTATGATACAGTATCATGATATGATACTCAAATCTCTCTTTTCTCATTTAATTTCATACCACCTTAGGGCATCTCCAACAGCTGTAAGATAGGTGTTGGTAAATTTGCCACCTAGGACATAGTGATGATGTGGCATGTAATAAATGTGGAGAGAGAGCAAAGTTGTATGTAGAATAACCAACAACCTTTGCACAAGCTCCAAGATGAAATAGAGAGCAATCATATTTATTTTCTCATCATCTATTGGATACCTTAGATACAACCCATTGAAGTAGTTGTATGATAGCTTGTTGGTTGATGACATGGACATTTTACCAACAAGACTAACATACAATCTATTGAAGATGCCCTTAGCAAGATAGTCTAGTTGGCATGCATGATACTAACTATGATACTCCCGTTACGAGCAGCCTAAATGACCAAGAACTTGTATTGTACATGCATTGATGAGTTTTCTTTTGATCCTTGCATGAAGTGATTTAGACTAGCCACATTGGGAGTAACTTCAGCAGTAACATCGAGTCCAACTCAGCAAAGTTGCTTATGTGGCATTGAGTTAATGAGGAGAGAGATAGTTACAGTAACTTAGCTAGTTACTGTAACATCACATGTCCCAATGCAATATGAGTCTATAACCTAATAAATGAACCTTTGCATGACACCACACTTATGTTACTACCCACTATGAAGGTAGTAACATAGTCTAGGAATATGTGTATATTACTAGTGTATGTTACTCTTCATTGTGGCTAGTTAATGCACACATAAAAAACTAAACATGTGATGGTACACCGCGCGTGACGTTTTATGACGGCAACAAACGGTGGTCACTTTTTTTCATTCTTCTCCGTGCATGGCGACTCAAATGTCACAATAGTTTTCAAAGACAGCCACTGTTGAGCTAGCTCGTCCTTTTTTTTGCCGTGGCTACAGTTCTTGAGGAAATACTACCTCTGTACGTCAATATAAGATGCTTTTGCAGTTCAAAAATGCCTTACATTAGCTTACAGCGGGTTTTAACTAAATAAACAGCGGAGTGTGTGAATAAAGAAATGGCTTATGACAATTCTCACTCATGAGGGCATGGAAATTTAAAAGGAAATTCTTTTTAAAAAATGCCCAGCGACGTGCGCGACAGCTTCATGCTATGCCGTTATGCCAGCTTGAGGTGGCCAGCAGCAACGAGCACGGAATGTCGCGCCGACAATGGCGGCTGCCACCGCGGAAGGAACATGGTATGCCACTATGCCAGGCGTCGTGTGTGGCGCGCGCGTGCGTCCCACGGACACGGCTGACGCCGCCGACAATCCGCCCGTCGCCGGCGAGCGCAACCTGAACATTGAGATGTTGAGCGCCGGCGCCGGGACCATGATTTCCCCGTGCCTTCTCCAGGTACCTCCCAATGTACTAGTAAGAACAAGCTGAATCTTCAGTCTAAAATTCAGAAGAAAATTTCAGCATCAGAAGAAAGGGCGTTGCAAGACCCACCACCGTAAACTGAAACTCCCAGCATCCACAATGTTAACAGCATCAGATCCGAGAACAAGAGCCGGATGCATGCAGCTCCCACCCATCTTATCCAGCACACGAAATTCGTCCAAAGTACTAGTACTTATCGAACTCAAGATCCAGTTCATCAAGCAATGGAGTCGGTCAAAGTTACAGGCACAAACACACGGTAGTAGTATTCAAAACATTACAAATTTACAAGCTTTTCTTGTACACCTTCGCAAGTTTACAAGTTCGTGTCTTCTCCGTAGATATAAAAATTCCATGAAGACTTCACAGCCCGTGATCCAAGAGTTCTGCAGCATCGCAGTTGAGCAAGCAGAAGGCACTTCTAACACTTGCTTCTTTTTTGTTGTTGTTGTTGTGGGGAAATAGTTCTAACACGTCTGCCAGAAAGAGAGCACACCGTGTTACGCCGCTGCTGTGAGCCTCCTCCTGGCCAGGAACATCATCATGCGCCGGAGGAACGGCGGCTTCTTTGCCTTCTTCGCCTTCTCGCGCAAACCTGGGCCGGCAGGGCTGCTCCTGGCTGACATATCCGAGGACAGCGGATGAACCAAGGCGCAGCTGTCTTCTTTGCATGTGCCCTTGATGTCCCGATCGCGCTCAACGACGATCACCACCGGGTTTGAATGTTTAGTTTCAGATTTCAAAGCCTCAGCGGTAGCCTTACGACGCTCCCCATGCTCCTCCCTCCATGTCCTCAGTTCCTGTTCCATGGCCAGCTTGCCTTCCGTGGCACTGTCGGCCTGCTTTTGGGCAGCAAGCAGCACTTGCTTTCGTTCTTCCAGAACCTTGTAAATTTCGCTGAGCTTTGCTAAGACGAGAGACTCGGAGTCCTTGGCCATCTCAACCTGCGCAACTGCAAAAGATATCTTCTCGTGCACAAGCTCTTCTGCCTGATGGGACTTCTCGATGAGAGACGCATGTTCATGAAAGTCCAGTGTGATCATTCCAGGAGAGCCTTGTTCTGCAATGCTTGCTGCAAGCTCGCTCTCCTCCAGAGCTCTGAGAGCATCAAGCGACAGCCTCTCAGACTCTTTCGCTGCTTCCGTCTCCTTCAGGACTGCTTGGAGCCTGAATTCCATAGTACTCAGATCAGCCTTCGCTTGCTCCATTTCTTCCTTGCTCGTTCTTAGCATCTCCTGTGCCTTCACAGCGAGAGACTTTGCCTCATCAGCTTCCTGGGCTGCAGCTTGCAGAAGCCCAGGCAACTCGCTCATTCTATCGCAGGATTTCTTCTCCTTGGACTGAACTGTTTCCAGTTCCTGTTTTGCCAGCTTAATCTCTGCCTTGAGAGAAGTAATGGTGATCGATGCCATTGCTTCCAGCTGCTGCATGGTGGCAAGTGTTTCTTTCTCTTTGCTCAACTCTGACTGAAGTGATGCAGCAGCAACTTTCAGGGCACAGACTTCATCTCTCGCCTTATCAATGCTCTTCTTCTGCTCCTCAAGCTCATCTCTTGATAGAATGGTTTCTTCTTGCATGGTCTCATCAGTTTTGTTTCCTTGTTCTTGTGCTTCTTTAATTAGCTTTTCCTCCACATATGCATTTAGCTCTTCGTTGTGCTTCACCAGCAAGCTGGATGATATTTCGAGCTCTGATTTCAGATCTTCGACAGAGGAAAGCTTCTTGTTGAGTTGACTCAGCTCCTCTTCTGCTTGCCCTAGATCCTTCTCCCATTTAAGACGGTCCTCATCTCGAGCTAAGGATGCACACGCCTTGTGTTTTTCAGCATCATGGCGCGTGGCACGAGCCAAATCCAACACTTCCTTCAGTTTGTTGAGCTCTACAGTGAGCTCCTCTGCTTGCTTCTCAGACTCTTTGGATACTATGATGGCTGCCTGAGATTTTCCAATGGAAATGTCCTGTTCAATCAATAAAGAATCATAATTCTCCTGAACCCCTTTTAACTCATCATTGACCAACTTCAGTTTGGACACCAGTACTTTGTGCCGTTCTTGGATATTTTTCAAAATCTCCTCGCCTGCAACACTATCACCGCTAGCTCCTCCTTCATCCATCTCTGGTACAATAAATTGGAAGAAATCCAAATCCTCCTTGGCATCTGCCTCTTCATGTTCTGCCCTCTCCAGTTCATGTTTCAGGTCTTCAATAAGCTTATTTGTTCTCTTAATCTCATTGAATACAGACAGCTTTGCAGCCTCTGCAGCTTCTGCTTGCTGTTTGCAATCTGAAATTTCGTTCTTCAGCAGACTGACCTCGAGTTTGACATGATCACCCACCTGGATATACCAAGATTGTTAATCATACATAGAGAAAGTAAAAAAAAATGTCTGTGAGTGCTCAAGTAAGTCTCAATAAAACTACAAAAGATAGGATTAAGTTGTAGCTGAGAGAATTAATGTAAGATAATTTATTAAGTTGTAGCAGAGAGAATTATTAAGTTGTAGCTGATGCAAATGAAAGATAATTTATTAAGTTGTAGCTGAGAGAATTAATGTAACAAACAAGAGAAGGTATGCTGTGAGTTACCTGCACTGGTTCTGTTTTGCGCGTTTTCCAGTTGATGCTCCCACCAAATCTTGAGGCAGCCACCTTCACTGACTCAATGGGCTTCGTTGTATCGACAAAAAAATTATCAGTCCTCGAATAATTCCCACTGTTCAATCTCCTCACGGGCGCAGGCATTTTCTGTCTAGTGTCTCGTAGGCTCATTTGGCGATCAGGCAATCTATGCATGAACCGTGGTTTATCTTCTTTCACCTTTTGTAAGATAGCAGGTGGCGCCTCACAAGCAGTTTTCTCAGAATCGGGACAGGAAGCACCATCTTGAACGTTATGCAAAGGTGCACATTGGACCTCTTCTCTTGAGCTAACTGAAGTCTGTGGTGTTGCATGTGTGTTTTCTTCTGAAGAATGCGTTGTCATCAAGTCACTGATGGCATCCTTTGATTCATCAACTTCGTTAGAGGCAGATGGAAATCTGTGAGAATCTTCTTTGATTGATGGCAACCCACTGTGGTCTACTTCTGATGATATGGAATCACCAATGGAAGCCTTTTGTTCAACCGAAGTCTCTTGCAGATTGCTTTCTTCGTCAATCAATATCAAGCTTGCAGGAAGTTCTTGGTGCATTGGTGTCTCAAAATTGGCACATGCTGTTTTCTCAAGGTTACTGCTTTCATCTTCATTGGTGCCTTCAGTTGGGCTAGGCTCTACAGAATTTTGCACAGATTTTGGTGAAGACAAACAAGAGTCGCCCACCTCAAGATTGTCCTCTACCATTCTTCCAGTCACAGTTTAATTTTATATTAACTGTGGAAGAAAACATTGAAGATGAGAATTAGACTGGAACAGCCAAAACCTAAGTATGAGTACCAGTTTACTTGCCAAATAAAGTAAAACATGCAAACACATACACAACTACAATAAACTCAGCAAAGGGAAGTCCTGAGATACAGATTGTTTAATGAAGGAGGGATCTTCATATGTGATGTTCTCATCCAAGAACATTCAGGAAAAGTTTGAACTTGATAAGATTTTATAGATGATAAATACATGGTATAAGAGCAAACCAAGTAGTACTTTTTCTCAACCATAACTATCTGAGAAGCCACAAAACATTGACTTGATGATTTGTCATGGCAAAGGTTCATCTAGCATAACTATTTTGGCTAAATGTTCTTGGACATAACAAAAGTACGATCTGGACATGCAAACAAGTTGCAGGACACCTCTAGATTTTGGTTTAATTTCTGATCCATGTAAAACCAATATTGCTTTATCTATGTCAAGAACTGAGGTCTTCATATGTAAGCAAAATACATGGTTAAACAAAATAATCCAACTTCAAGCTAAGCAAATATCCTAGAAATATCCAAAAATAAAACTCAAGAACTCATGAAATGAAAAAATAAAAGGAAAACATGATTTCAACTGAGCCAAACAGATGACAGTATCTGAAAGCCATGTGCGTGATCAGAAAGTAAGCAAAAGCTGAAACTTACTGAAGAGTCGAGACCTCGTGCCTGTATATTTCGTAATTGAAGGATGAAGGATCTTCAAAACGAGGGGAGGAGACTGGAGATGGGGAAAAAGGTTTGGGAAGTTTTTGCAGGTATTGGGGAGACAACACTGGAGGAAGGGTTGAAAGAATTGGGACAGTGGAGAGCCACCTGGGAGTAGAGAATAGGATCAATTTAAAAATATTCATATGTGGGGAAGACTTGGACTTATTCCCCTAATGCAATATTTGGTTTGATTTCTTCCTGTAGTTTTTGTACACTATTTTACTTTTATCAAAGCTACTGGCACAAGCTGGATGGTTGAGGAAATTGTGTGCCAGCATGAAGCAGGAAGCAGGAACAACTGTATTGGAAATATTCATTTAGAACCTCATGATAGTTGGAAACAACAGAAAAGCGTAGTGCTTCAAGTTCCTCTTTCTGTAGTTTAGTTGGCATTTCATTGATTGAATCATTCTTCATATGTCATTCAGTGCGCAGATTGGTTAAAAGTTAAAAAAAAAGGAACAGAATAAGAAAGCATCTCGCGATCTTCTTCTTTGTAACACAGCATTTTTTAAGAAACTGGTTTGATCTGTTTTTTTTTCTTTAGAGTAAATCATTGTGTGCGCAGATTGGTTAAAAATTAAAAAGAAGGAACAAAAAAAAGGAAGCACATACAGAAACAATTACCTAAAAGTATCCCTGTATTTTTCTAGCAGAACAGATGATGTCAATCATTGTGTCTTGATTTCTACCGTAACAATTTACTGTGTGTGTACCTAATCAATGATAACATGGAAGTTACCATATGTGAAAGTAGTAAGTCAAGCATTGCTGGGACAGGATACTAATAATCTTTACAGTGGTAAATGTGGAGGATTGTCTGGAAGCCCACCCTGGACGTTCTTCCTTTCTTTTCTGAAGAAAAAATGGATACTATAATTGATTCGAGAAACATTGGCCCTTTCTTAATACACCAGTGCTACAAAATATTTCGCGTGTAGTTTCTTTCATAATTAAAACGAGACACCTTTGCAGGTAGAAAGATTTGTGTTGCCTGTTTGGTAGAACTGAAGTCTTCCCAACAGAATGGGCATCTGCACCACAAAAACAACTGCTAAGACGATATATAACAAGAAAATGGCAAGGCCACATACCCTTATACCAACATTACGAGGTGTCAACAGTATAACATCTATAACTGACTGCCCAATCGTCAGGAGATCTTGTTGTGTTCATGTACCTGATACTCGAATATGATAGAATGGATATCTCATTGAGATTCTGTTGACCTAGCTTGTCCACAATCTTCTCCAAATCAGACCAAGCAATTCTTTAAGGTATCACCATAACAGCAATGCAACAGCTGTGAAGCGCTTACCATTTAAATGACCACAATCTTCCTTTAAGGATAACAATGCATTTAGCATTTTAAAAGCAAACAATCCTGGTTGCACTGAGATGGAGATATTTCAAACTTTGTGTAACAACTAGCTACTCCAAGAAATTAATCCATGGATGAATGATTTAGACTATTTTCTTGCGTTAAAAAAATGCTCTAACAATTGTCAATCTCGCAGAAGAATGATTTTGCATGTTTTCTTGTGTTAACAAATGCTCTACCAGCTGTCAGTAAACAAACATCAACTTAGGCTTGAGCAGGTTTTCAACACATTCTGACAAAAAAAGTTCTCTAGCTAATGGAGCTTGTTGTAGGATCAGGGCTACTCAATCAAACTGATTCCCACATCTTTCCTCAACCCTTTTGCTTCCATATCTAACCGCAGCCACTCATAGTCATTCCATTTACCAACTGAAGCATAGATGTTAGAAAGCATGACATAAGACCGTGGATTACTGTGGTCAGACTCAATGAGCAATTTCCCCACAGCCTCACCAATTTTGGAATTTCCATGGAATCTACAGGCTCCAAGCAATGACTCAAGCAAACTTTCTGATGGTCTGAATGGCATTGACCCGACAACATCATAGGCTTCATCCAAGTGGCCAGTTCGACCTAGCAGATCCACCATGCATGCATAATGCTCCATCCTCGGTGTGATGCCATAGTCTATCTGTAGTGATTTAAACAAGGATCTTGCTTGCTCTACAAGGCCACTATGACTGCAAGCTGACAAGATACTAACAAAAGTTACGTCATCTGGCTCCACTTCTGAGGCTATCATCATGGAGAAAAGGTCAAGGGCAGACTTGCCATCCCCATGTAAACCATATGAGTTGATCATTGCACTCCAAGTAACAGAATCTTTTGCCCCTGAGCTATCAAAGAGCTCTCTTGCAAATGAAATGCTTCCACACCTTGAATGCATGTCAATGAGAGCATTGACAACAAAAAGGCTTCCACCAAAGCCATTCTTTAGTAGGAGAGCTGTAACACATTCTGCCAAATCTGCTTTTCCAATCTGCGAACATGCTGAGATGAGTGCCAACATGGTTACTGCATCAGGATTCACATTAAGGAAGCACATCTGCCTGAAGAAATCAAATGCAATATCAGCCAGCTTGCACTGAACACAGGCAGATAAGATGCAATTCCATACTATGATGTTTTTCTCACCAACCGAATTAAAGAGTTTGCAACTGTAATCAAAATTGTTGAACCTACTGTACATACAAATGGCTGATGTGAGCATAGATGTTTCTAGCCTGAAGAAATTTCGAACTGCATAACAGTGGACAGACTTTCCTTGCAATTGGTTCTGACAAACAGGCAATACATTCAGTAACGTAATATGATTTGGCTCCTTTTCATTCTTCACCATTTCATAAAACAGAGGTAAGATCTCTTCAGATAGGTTGTTTTTACGGTATCCAGTCATCAGAACATTGTAAGAGACTGTGTTCACAGAAGGCAAGCTGTCAAAGAGTCGCTGGCATGCCTCAACAGAACCACAGTTGCTGTACATGGTAATGAGGGTGTGTGTAAGAGAAACATCCGTACTGCATCCACTTTTAACTGCCAAAGAATGAAGTGATTCTCCAATTGTGGCGTCCTCAGCCACCGAAATACTGCTGGTAAGGCCAATCAGGGTTACTACATCAAACTGCAAGTCTGCTTGGCGCATCTGGCGGAAGAGTCTTACAGAAGCCTCTGCATCTCCAGCTTCAGCATAGCCAGATATTATCGTGTTCCAAGATATCAACATAGGTACTTCCATTTTCTGAAATAACTTGTAGGAATCTGAGAGTTCTCCACAGTCACCGTACATAGCCAGGAGTGCATTCATCACGCTTTGGTTCAATTCAAAACTGTTTCTCACAGCATATCCGTGGATGGACTTTGCCATGCGTAAATCTTTCATGTGCCTGCATCCAGAGATCACCTTAATGACAGTTGTTGCATCGGGTGCAACACCTTGGGTTTGCATCCTGCGGAATGTATCGAGAGCAGTGTGCCATTTGTTGTTCAAAATGTACCCAGAAATGATGGAGTTCCACAGAAGATGGTTCTTTCCGGTACAACTACAGAAAAGCTGCACAGCTGAATCCAACTCCCCAAGTTTAGAATACATAGAAACAAGAGCGCTGACAACAGAAATCTGCTCTGCTAGGCCAAACTTGATAACCATACCATGCACAGATTCGCCGATGTGTACACCAAAAAAGTCACTGCAGGTTGGAAGGACAGATACCACTGTTACCAGATTAGGCCCTAGTCCTGCGCAACGCATCAACCTGAAGACCTCGAATGATTCCTTCCATTTATCATGCTGCATGTACGCTGAGATCATGGAATTGTAAGACACCAAATCCTTAACAGGCTGCAGATCAAAGAGCAACCGCGACGAGGAAAGATCATCAAACCCAGCGTACATTGAGAGGAATGCAGGTGTAACGGATTCATCAGCAAGCACCCCACATTTCAGTGCAAACGCATGCAGCGAATCACCCGCATCTGAATCTCCGACCGCACTGCACACACCGACAGCAGCAACAAAAGTGCTAGTGTTCGGCCTCATGCCGCCCTCCTGCATCTCCCGCATAGCCTCGACAGCTTCTCTGAAGCACCCATTCAGAGAATACCCCGAGATCAGCGCGTTCCAGGAAATCAGGTCCCTCTGCGCCATGCAGTCAAACACCGCCCTGGACGCGCCAACCCAGCCAGCCTTGGCGTACATGTCAAGCAGCACGGTCTGCACGCCGACATTGTCCCCGTGCCCGTCCCGCAGGACCCTGCCGTGCGCCTCCCTCCCCAGCCGAAGGCAGCCGACGGCCGTGCATGCCTTGATGACTGGTGGGAACGTGAAGTTGTCTGAGCCGCCGCCGTAGGCGCACGCCCTCCTGTACATTTCAAGGAGCTCCTGGTGGAACCCGTGGGCCGAGAAGCAGCGGACGGCGAGGTTGAGCGAGTACACCGTGGGGCGGCGGCGGTGGGACCCGGCGAACACTGACGCCGCGGCGCCCGGCATGCCGAGGGAGAGGTAGCCCTCGACGGCGGCCGTGACGGCGGAGGTGTCCCGGTTGATCGCGCCCGTGACGGCCAGCAGCGCGTGGAGCCTGCGGAGGCATTTCGCCGAACGGGTGGCGTGCGCGAGCTCCGCGAACGAGTCGGTGCGTGGCAGCGCGCTCGACGGGGCCGGGGCCGAGGAGGCGAAGGATTTGGCGAGGGTTTGGTTGGATCTGCGGAGGAAGCTTTCGGCTTTGTGGGATTTTGGGAGGGTTTTGTAGCGCGGGTTCATGCTCCGGCGTCTCGACTCTGGACGTGGACGGCGCAATGGAGCGATTGCTCTTCTGTCAGCTGCTGTGTGGAGGGGGTCGGTTAACTGTCGAGTGCCAATAGTGCGCCTGTTTTGGAGTATAAAAAGTTAATATTCAAACGACTTTCACTCTCTTTTTTTCCAAAAAAAATCAGATCTATTATAAAAAGTTTTTAGAAGTATAAGGCACATCAAACATGATAAAAAAAAATACATCGATGTCTCTAGACCACCGAGCCGCCGTTGTGTCGTTGTCGCCATTTCTCTACCGGAACCGCCGAACCGGCTTGACCTTATCGGTGACAACAAAGAAGTCTTTGTGCATGTGCCCCTAAGGACCAACGTTCTGAAGTTGCAGTCGTCAATGTTGAAACCTTGAATAGATCTGAAGCAATTGATACTAAATAGGCCTAACCTCGCCGCCCCCAAGAAGATGGCAGAATCTATGCCAGAGTTTCATCGACTATGTCCAGGTGCCCGAACTCGAAGAGGATCAGAGCCCGAAAGAAAAACTCAAAAAAGAAGCGTCGTCATCTGCCCAAGAGTCGCACTACTGAGGAATAAAAAAT